TCGTTAGATGTAACCTAAACATGGGAAGCAGTAATCTCAGGCTGAAGAATAGATTCATCTAAAAGTTTAGCCCATGCACCAAACTGGTAAAACAACAGAGCTAAAGAAAACTGAACAGAACAAAACTTCCCTGAACAGTCAGGAAGGTAAGTATGCAACTCAAGTTGACAGGCTGAACGAACAGTGACCAAATCCAAAGTATCACAAGACTCCAAAAATGAACATAGGAAAAATATGACTAAAAAATGAGGGGACTGGCAAGAAAATTGATGTACACACATAAATGCTGAAACATGAAACTAGGAACAGAACACTGACCAGAAACTGTGAAAGAGAAGGGTGATCAACGTGGCGAATATGGTGAGAGCCATGAAAATGTGAAACAAGAATGCTGGGCTGAGACGTAGGGAGGGAGTAATGCTGGGCACATCTCTGACAACAATCTGGCAGCTCATGGATGTGAGTAGCTGGCTTTATTACATAGTCCCTTGACTGCTGATGGAAAGCAAGTGAGTGTAATGGGAGTGGTAAAGCTGGAACACAAAAACAGGGATCGGCTAGGAACACCGAAGGGTATCAAAATAAGAGCTTGAGACAGGAAGTGCAAAGAACTGGGACAGATTATCACTAACATTCCTGAGTTGGAAAATACTCTTGTCTTTTGCATCTGATAAACCTTCAAAGACTTCCTGGTATTTCAGTGTCTCTTCAGTATCCTTGCTTTTCTGAAAACCTACTTAGCAACATGACCAATCTGGAAAGTAGACAATTTTAGCTTCACAGTTAGAGCTCAGTTTCTACTCAGGTTATGGAGACAAGTCACTCTAAACACAAACTTTCCTTTCAGCTACTTAAATCTAAAGGTATCATACCCTAGTTTGGTTTGGCTGATGTTTTTAGCCTGTTTTCACTGGAACATTCACTACTGACAAAAAGGTCCCAACAAAAACTTTGCACAGTGAGGTCTGGTGATCCACAGTAACTGGGACGTTGTTTCTGGAAAGACTGGTTTCTACTGAGTTATTAATGAGTAGCTTTTGAGAGCCAGGAGTACAACACATTAGAACAAATGTCACTCCCTTTGTGTTTGTGGTAGCAGAAACTCAACTCTTTGGCATGAAACACTTTCTGTAGAGGTGGGACAGAAAATATGTTTCTTAGTAATTTGGCTGAACTGAACCTAAACTGGAGAAAAGAGAGCAGGGCCTCAGTATTTATTGTCTTGACAGACCTGTCATTGCTGATCACTCCTTTCCTAAAGCAACCAATAAACCTCCTTTAATCCGTGAATATTGGTAACTAATGTATGTTTCCCTATTCCCCACAGATCCACACAATTATTACCACAGACGCAATGAAGTCATTACAACAGATGACTTGGATTTCAGACACCACAGCTACAAAGAAATGAGACAGGTGAGTGAGTGAACAGAAGACAACAGATATCAGTCAACTTATGAAGATCCAGCTCTTATTTCTAATTCAGCAAAGTGACCAGCGCATGTGGCAATTAAAGCCTTGTGTATTTGTGAGACAACACCAAACAAGTTGTCCTTGGGAGAACAAAGTGTGCAACCAAGTGCCGCTGCCAGACGCCTGACTATGCATATAGCATCTCATGTGTTCTGACATTACTTATTCGTATAGTTGTCATAAACAGTAGCTTGTTTGTGCTGAGAAGGGGGACAGCTGTGTTTGTCACTGTGGACAGTGTGTCTGAGGGGAATGTGAAGGTACAACTATGAATTGCAATCCTCTTAAGGTACAGGAACAGCTCGCTGGAGCCCAGCATTCGACTGCAGGTGTCCTGAACTGCTGTTATGACCCACAATTGAACTTATTCCAATTAATAATTGGACCATATGCCTTATTGTGCAACAGCAGCCTTTTTTCTAGTGTGACAGCCTGAAGTGCTAAGTGAATCAAATCTTTCTTTCTTTACCTTTGAGGCTAATGTGTGTCAAGCACCAAGTCCAGGCCTCAATAAGGCCACACAAAGAAAGGACGGATTATTTTTAAAACTCTGCTTCTAAAGCCTTTTCACCCGTGACATTTCTTTTCTCCATGTAGGTACCTGGTACCATATCAGTTTAAATACTGCTGTGCCAGAGCCTTTAAGTGCAATAGCCCACTGTGGCTTCTCAAATAAAGTACATGTCCCCTGAGAGGAGTGAAAAAGACATTTCTTATATTGCTTAAGAACCGTTCTATTCCTAGATCACAACAGATTGTAATGTAGTAGCCCTGGGAATACTGATATTGTCAGAGCGTGGACAGTTCAAAGACATTATTATCAGGTAGCTGGAAAGAATAATGGCATTACCTTGCCATAACCCTGACACAGCCTGGCCAAGAAGCTTCTCTTTAATTACACCATTAGCCTAAGTATATACATGCAGATTAGTCTGCCCTTTTCCATTTTATTATTTTGAGAAATAAACACTCGGTCCATAGTGGTAGTGTATGAGTCTGGTAAGTACAGTCTAGGTGTATTTATCAGGGGAATTCTGTGCTTGATTAAACTGTGAGCAACCATTTCACTTCTAATCCTTTTTATTATTAACAAAACCGGACATTTGTTCAATGATTTACTTGGTTAGAAAAGTCAAGATCCAGCCCAGACTTAATTAAAACCCCATCACTCCTGACTGGCTTATGATTCTGCCACAGCTGGAAGAACGTGTAAACACAGAGTCTTAACATTAATGAGGCTGCTTTACTTAACAGCTTGTTAGTTAATTTTTCCCGCTGCAATTGTTCTCTGTGTCTCCACTCGTGCCCATATGGGTAAATAATAGTTGTTGCTATTTTAATCGGCTCCTCTACAAGCCTGTCTTCATAATTACCACCACTGTTTTTCACTCAGCCGCCCTCGCTGGTTCGGGCTTCATTAGATAAAGACTGTGACACAGCACTGGGGATATTTTTGAAATTTCTAATAACATGGACATTATTTTGTATTGTTTTGAGGCCACAAGCATGCTGCATTTACAGGAACAAAACCACAATGTAAAATTAGTGAGCCCCTAAGAATGTGAACATATTGGTTAATTAGCTGGCCAAATGAACAAATAATTAATCAATTAATGTTTGACCAAGTCGCATTTCTACCTTTTTGGTTGATCCAGTGACATTTACTGTAATTCTAACTAATTTACCAAACACACTTTGAGTTTATCATCTACTGTACCAGTTTCAGCTCAAGGTCACTCGTTCCAGAGCTTTCAGCAGATGGAGTTTGTTCACTTGTTCTGAAATAGTAGATGTTCAAACATTCCATTAATCTGAGCACTTCTATGACATCATGTCCATATTGTGACAATTGATGGACAAGAAGACCGTGATGAAGATCGTGACGTATGGTCAAAAGCTCTGGCACAAGCGTGTCAGTAAACAAATGCTGCAGCCAGAGTTGATGCTTTGTTATTTATCTTCCACAGCTTATGAAAGTGGTTAATGAAATGTGCCCCAACATCACCCGGATCTATAACATAGGAAAGAGTCAGAGTGGCCTCAAGCTGTACGCCATAGAGATTTCTGACAACCCAGGAGAACATGAACTTGGTGAGTGTATTTTAGGCAACAGTGTGTTTTAATGCAACAGGATGCGATCGCTCCATTTAATGCATAATAACAGCATCAGAGACGTCAGAGTGTTCCTCGGAGGGTTTTTCTCTGTGTGCGTGGCTGCACATGTAGTAGCAGTGATTGCATATTTAATTTTCCTCTATCCTTCCCCCCATCTCTCCCCTTGTATGAACCTGTTGACCAGGTGAACCAGAGTTTCGTTACACAGCAGGTTCCCATGGTAATGAGGTGCTTGGACGAGAGCTGCTTCTCCTGCTGATGGAGTTCATGTGTGTGGAGTATCTGTCTGGCAACCAGCGGATACGTCACCTGGTGGAGGAGACCAGAATCCATCTATTGCCATCTGTCAACCCTGATGGGTATGAGAAAGCCTTTGAAGTGGTAGGTCTACAACGTGGCCATTAGTGACCTCATATCAGGCTCTGGCCTCTGGTGAAAACGGCACTGTATCTGCTTGGCAGGGCTTCTCTTCAAAACAGTGCATGTGGTGCAGGTGCATGCCAGAAAATTGGTTTGAATGAACAATGTCCTGAGGAGCAATGTGAACATAAGAGGACATGGGCTGCCTGTTCTGCTATAATATACCATTGTTTGGTGTGGTCTTAAATCACCTGCTAGTATTAATGAGGCACAAATAAGGGAGCACAAAATGAAGTCTGACAGTGATTGGTTTCTGTACAGTCAATAACATTTTGCAATTAGTGACCTGATGCATCAGGTATTGCACAGTATCGTAATGCTCATTTTCACAAAATATAATTAAAACTTTGGTAAGCTATAGTTTTGATATTTACATTAAATCAAATGACTATATGTAATGTGAAAAGGTCACTACTAGGGTAGCACCCATCAGACTACATAAGTGCTCACCTCTGTGTATCTACACAGTTGAGCAGTGTTGATAGTCTCTGTTGATTCATTGTTTACATTCTGCACATACATGCACCCCGTAGCATTTAAGGCTGAGAAGGTTCTCACCAACCCTGCCTATACTGCAAAACTATAACCAGTCATTTCTAGTGAACAATCAGTGGATGCTAGCACACACCAGCAAAGTGTAAAGATGGAGCCCCTGTCCCTGCTGTCCCTGACCTGATTCCACTCTCAAAGGATCAGCACAGATCCACACTTCCCATCAAGCCATCTCAACCATGTTACAAAGCTCAATCTGTGATCAGAGAACTGCTGTTACCACTAGTAACATTTTCTCTGACTTTCTTTTATACTGTTTTTTTCCCACCAAGGGTTCAGAGCTTAGTGGCTGGTCTCTGGGTCGATGGAGCAATAATGGAATAGATATTCATCATAACTTCCCTGATCTCAACTCCATACTGTGGGAAGCTGAGGCCAAGAAGTGGATCTCTCGCAAAATGTTCAATCATCATGTGCCCATCCCAGAGTGGTACCAGTCCAACAATGCCTCAGTGAGTCTGACTGACTGTGTTGTATTGTGTTTTAAACCAAATGAATGTGTACATTTCAGTGCAGGTAAACATGTTATTGTGGCTTACAGAGATTGCATGAGATTTGAACACTATCATTTATTTTAAGAATTGTGCTTTAGGTAACCTCAAAGTGCAACTGACAGGGTTTAATGTTAACAGTATGAAACAATAGCATCAAATTTGATCTTCCATGTGCTTTATCTTTAATAATCTCACTTCCATTTAGTTTAGAGTGACTTCACCCAAAAGTGACAAATTATTATTATTATGTCCTTGTCCTGCACCACCTCCAGTTTAACAAACAAAATCCATCCACATCTGGAAAAGGGTAAAACAACCACGTGGGCATATCAGCACTGTCTATTTTGGGAGAAGTGGATGCATTTGCTATTTGTGACAAAGAGGCTGTGAGCTAAAATATACCCAGTGATCTATTAAAAGCTCATCCCCAGGACTGTTTTGACGTTACTGAGAGCCACGAGTGAGTCACACAGAGTCTCCAAAATAGCAGCAGCAGCAGCAGCTGCAGAACTGGGATCCCCATCTGTGCTCAGGAAGCTGTGAAAACAGCGTTCGATTGCCTCACTGGCCAGCTCCAACCAGTGCTTAGAGATAGGAGGGCTGGGTTAACAGTATGAGCCTAAACTGCAGGGGCTCATACTCAATTTCCTGATTATAACATGCAAATACAAGTCACTAGACCCTAGAGTAGTTGATTTGCGGCCGCTTGATGAAAATATGCTCCAAGTAAATATTACTGAAAACGGTTTACAGCATGGGAGTGTGAACAGTCTTTAGCTTTATCTCTCCCTCTTCAGAGCACATTGCAGTGAAAATGTTTTCAGTGTGAGGGAGTTAATTTAGCAATCACACTACTGAGCTGAGTGGGTGAATTGCATTACGCTCCCTGCTCCTCTATCCTTCTTTTAGGTTGCTGTGGAGACACGGGCTCTGATAGCATGGATGGAAAAGATACCCTTTGTACTGGGTGGTAACCTCCAAGGAGGGGAGCTGGTGGTGACCTTCCCATATGACAAAACTCGCTCCCAAGGGGTCATCAGGGAGCAGACCCCTACCCCAGATGACCATGTCTTCCGCTGGCTGGCCTTCTCCTATGCCTCCACCCACCGACTAATGACTGATGCCAACCGACGGGCCTGCCACACAGAAGACATTGCCAAGGAGGATGGCACCATCAACGGAGCGTCCTGGCACACTGCACCTGGCAGTTAGTGGACACAGCTACTCGGGTGTTTTCTCTCTGATCCCAACACTGTGTTATACAGGATTTCCCTACTCAGCTCTGAGCCTTTAAGCTGTAGCTTTGTATAGCACCCATGAGCACATCTACATATTCAGGACTGAACCTCTTTGGCTGTTTCAAAGCTTCTAGGTTTTAGCTTGACGGATCATCAAAGAAATCAAAGGCAAACAAACAAAGAAATTCAAAACTAGGCTTCATGTCCATTTACCTCTTAATTATCACCACAAATTCTGGCCAATAAGTGCACAGAATGCTGAGGTCTGATGCTGGCCTACAGATACATTTGTCTTTCTTGGCAGGTATGAGTGATTTCAGCTATTTGCACACCAACTGCTTCGAGTTGTCCATGTACGTGGGCTGCGACAAATTCCCTCATGAGAGCGAACTGCCTGAGGAGTGGGAGAACAATCGCGAGTCTCTTCTTGTTTTCATGGAGCAGGTACAGAGGCAAAGCAGCCCCCGCAGCTCACACAAAAGAAGACCTGTGTGCATAAAAACAAGCCACATAAACACATGCTTTTTATTATTTTAGAGTTTTAGAAATATTGTAGCTCATATTTGATTAATCATTTATGCTGTATCGATGCCATACAAACTGATCACATACTGTACTGTGCTCTACACTTACTGAACATACTCAATACTTAAACTGATGTTATGGTCAGTCCATCAGAAAACCTATAGGACAGTATACAAGCAAAAAATAAATTCCACGCTTTATTAGTTGGTGGGGATTCCCTGAATGTTTCATTAAATAAGTGACCTGCACAAGTGCCATCCATCCAT